CACTGTTCTAATCGGTCTGTCATTTATAGCTAGTGTAGCTTTGAAAAAATATTTACATACGCGAGTCCTTTGATTGTTCAGGATGAAGTAAAAAGCGTTATTTTGTTGGCGATGGCTACCGTCCCGTTTATATTGATACTTAGGCTGAACTAGGGACATACTTGTGGCTAAAAAGTCTCGTTGCCTATGTAAATTGCCTAAGCCCCAATATTCGGAAAAAAGAGTTTTACGATTTTCATCTGTAAATTTCTTGCTGCATTGCAGCTTGCATTTGTCTCCACAGGGAGGCAGAATGGTCCTAGAAGGGTGCAATTTTCTGGTTTTCGAAACTGACACGTATTCTTTACCTTCGTTTCTCAGAGCTTTTGCAGCATTTTTTCGCCACTTTTCCGGGAACCTTAAACGCTTTCTTCCAGTTTTGGTTGTCTGGCTGCAATTTACTACTTTTCTAGCTACATTTGAGCAGCGGTGCGAACTCTGGCCAGTCTCTTCTGCGAAACCTCCATTGGAATCACTTGATGATTCACTGGTATTGGAACTGAACTCCGGGTCAGCTCTGGAGTCATCCGAACCAAATGGGTCTTCTTCAGGTCCAGAGTCAGAGTCAAGCCCATTGCTTGTTCCAGGCACTTCAGCAATTTGACATATTGCCAAGTTCTCTTTCTGCATTTCTAGGGCATCTGCCACCATCTTCCTTGTTCGACTACTATACTCCATAGCTAAAATTAAAAAAAAAATTCATAAAAATTGGTATTAGTTTCCTGAAAACATATTTTTCAGCTTTTTTGAGGCAAATTAAATTATAGTTTCAGAAACCAATAATTTTGAATAATTCCTCGAAATACATGGAATATCATGTATGTTGACCATACTCAATCAATTCCCAAACTCCAGCCTGATCAGCAAAACTCATTTAATAGATTCAACGTAATACTTGTTCTTTATGTAATGTGATCTGGTACTTTTTGCTCAATATGGCAACGTCGCAACACAAGAGCGAACACGTCGGATTAATCTATAATCTGGAAAATATAACTCAGAAACAACGGCTATTTGTTGCCATTTTGCTTTATTATAAACACGACACCCATCTGAACAAACACATCGGTTTCATCGGGAGGTTCAGCAGTCTGGCTGTGCTTGAATCAAGCCAGATAGTGTATTTGGAACTGCTTTATGAATGAGTAGTCATCACTGTAAATACAACTTGTATGCTCTGGAATCAGCTACTTGAAGCAAGTGTCTAATACACATTAAAAATGTTACACATAAAAGTGGCAAAACCGAATGTTGCAATATAGAACAAAGTATACTTTCTAGAGTCAATTTCAGTAGAAAACCGACATATCCACAAATGCTGCACAAAATAGTACGGTTTTGCCATCAATTTCAGGAGAAAACTGACACAACATTAAATGTGACGGTCTAGGAAAGAAATAAAAGAATATTTTAGGGCTTACCTTATCTTGAAGAATGACACAAATCGAAATATAACAGTTTTCGTCCAAGAACACTGCCTATCAAAACGTAGTAACACGTAATGCTACACTTTTCTTCAATAGCTCGGAAAAAAATACGTGTTTTAATCTGAAATATGACGGTTTTCCACTCAAAGCTAGTACATTCCCCTATGACGACTGGATTAATACTGAATTGTGCTAGGGATGCGCGATACGATACGATCTTTTAAAGTATCGATACTTCTGCTTTCGATACCCGATATTTTGTATCGATATTTTCATTGCGATACATCACTAATATCGATACTTTTGCTTGTATATCGGATCATACGATCCGCGGATTGAGAAAGTTGCGGCATCGGCAGCCGATGATTTAAGAAGAGCACAGCCAGACAATAACATTTTAAGATTAATACAATCAGACCTTTTACATGTTGGACAGATTCACTAACTTATATGAATATATAGCTCCAATTTTACTAAAAAACCCAAAGTCACCAGCCATGTTAGATGCATCTGAATTGGAAAAAATAAAAGAACTTTTAAATATTCTATCTCCTATCGAGGCAGTTTCAAAAGAAGTCAGCGGCGAGCAATATTTAACATCAAGTAAGATTATACCTATTGTTAACTGCCTTTTTAAAAATATTGGAAATTTATCCCCATCTTCTAAAGAAATATTAGCTTTAAAAACTACAACAATTAATGAACTTTCTAAAAGGTTTGGGGCTATAGAACAAAATAAATTATTAGCTGAGTCAACCTTATTAGACCCCCGTTTTAAAAAACTACATTTCAATAGTCCAGTGGCATGTGCTAATGCTGTTACTTTTATTAACCAGTCAATTCAACAATTACGTGAATTGCATAACCAAGACCAAATGAAAAATGCTCCAAACTCACAAAGTCAAAGTGCTCAACCGCCTCAACCTCAACTAAATAAATCTCAAAGCTTATGAGCTTACCATGAAGAATTAGCTGCCAAACATACTTTAACGCAGTTGGATACTAGGGACAGCCTTGACTATGATTTTAAAATATATTCAAACAGCCAAACACTACCAATATTGTCAGACCCATTATCTTACTGGAGCACACACGCGTCACATATATTGAAAGAAATAGCTCATAAATATTTATCTATTGTGGGAACCTCAGTTCCGTCAGAAAGGCTTTTTTCCAAAGCTGGAAATATTATTAGCCCAAACCGTAACAGGCTTAGTGGAGAAAGATTATCAGAGCTTTTATTTTTAAGTTCCTTAAATTTTGAAGACTGGAACCTATTATAGTTTTGCTTTTTTTTTGTTATTTTTTGTAGCAGTTGAAGAAAAACCTGTATTATGTTGGTTTATATATATTTATATTCATGTTGATTATAATATTTTAGTTTTTACATATCAACACTTGTTAGTTCAAGTTAAACATTGGAACTGTATTGTTTTATATTTTCTTTTATATATGTATTTTTTAATACGAGAATTATTTTTTATTTTTTTTTTGTTATAAATGATTAAATCTGAAAATTATACAAACAAATATATTTGATTTTGGAACCCAAAATTTATTAATCAATCATATATTGATTTAAATTCAAACACGATTCCTAATTTTTTTTGTAACGGATAAGATTACGACTTACAGAATAACCGTATCGAGGTATCGATACCTTAGGTATCGATTCTTTTACAGCGATATTTTCCTGTATCGATACAATTTCTCACGATACGGATCGATACCAAATATCGATACATTGAAGAATATCGCGCATCCCTAAATTGTGCCGGTTTAGACCTATAAGGGGTACCAAGGATACGTCACTTCAAAAACGACATAAGTGCCACCTGTTGGTAGTTTGAGAAAGTCGAGATGTGACACTTTTCCACATAATAAAGTAGATAATTCTGAACCGTTTGGTGTAGTAATCTGGATTTTCATCTTTTTTGAGTTGTGACGGTTTTCCTGCGAATGAACGATATGACAAGCGAGATGTGCAGCTGAGCTGGCTCCAGTTCTTTCGTGTCTTTTCCAGATATCTTACGACTTCGGCACTTTCTGTTATAAGTAATGTGATGGAGAGGTGCATAAATCGGGAGCTTCTAGAGTACCTCGAACGTGACGGCTTGATTACCGACAGGCACTATGGTTTCCGACACCAGCGATTTACAGGGGACCTCCCAGCTTACGTCACGGAATTGTGAAGTCGGTCATCCCCACATTGCCTAGCAATATGATATACCAGAAATAATAGGTTAGGTTTCTGTCAATACTGTCTATTCGAACATTTAATATTTTGTTTTACTTTTGATAGAATTGTTTACATATTTCAAGTTTGATACGACTTGATGTTTTAATTCATATCAGAATTATCTTTGATTTCCACCGATGGTGATAAAATCAACACATCCTGAGTTATTGTTACATTTTTTTACAGCGAGCGGTCGGAAAATGTAACAAATTCCATAACGAAATCAAATTATGGGTGTACGCAGGTGAAAACCATTTCGAAGTAGGACGGCACTCCCCAATGAGCGCTAGGTGGGTACTGACCAAAATCGCTCATCTATGATCATGAAGGTGGAAAGCTTGCATAAGTATGAACGAATGCGGTGTTACCAAGCGAAACAAAGATACAATGTTGCAGAATTTGTGGAGAACCTGGCGTTTCATTTCGACCTAAAATGGAGCACCCCTAGGGCCATTTCGGAATCGATCCTAAACATATTCGACACAATTTATAATTCAAAAATATGTACGTTCAAAATAAAACCATTATTTTGGCGTAGAGAATAAACTAACGCATATTTCAACATGCATCTTAATTCAAGGCATTAGTGTAACATATTGGCAATGCGGCAGATTACCGCATCAGCTTTGCTTAGCAACATAGAGATGAGCTTCACTATCCAGCCGCCTGCTTTCTTTCTAACATATATGAACTTAAAATGTCGGACAAATTTGGTTCTCAGTTCTCATAAATATATATAATATCGCGCACACCGCGTTTGTCGCCGTGCCGATTGCTATTATACCTGTTTTTATAAGTCACTCGGATCAAGTATCAAAGATGCAATGTTTATAAATATCCGTCTGCTGAAAATATTTTTTGGATGGCAAACGTACGGGAAAATATATGTATGTGGTGTGTGAAATATGTCTAATAGGTCCGTAAAATTACCGGGGTTGGAAGTATATTAATACGGGTACTCCCCCACTCCCCGATAATGCCCCACCGCCCAATTTTTCACCCCTAGTTTTTCGTTCAGAAATGATCAGAATTCTCTGAAAGGCCAAAAATTGAAATTCATCGTTTTTTTTTTCGTTTTTGACATTTTTCTCCGCCACCACTGGACCTATTTTTAAAAACTATAAAGTTTGTATGTCCTTGGCACAGTAGTGTGAAAATTTCATTAAAGCCCGAACCGTACTTCTCATATAACATCCATCAAGCAATATCTCATTTTCAAAATTTTTCGCGGTGACAATACTACCTCGCCCAGGGGCGTTTTAAGTGAAACAATAGCTAAGAATCAAAATATCTGATAATTTTTTTATTTGTTTATTTTATGAGACCCTACAAACTTGTAAATTAAATATCAGAATGAATAAAAATTGAAAAGTTATGAGATATGGGCACAAGCAATAATTCATCAACCCTCAAGCACATGCTCTTCATTTGGTTTCTCAAAGTATCCCATTTTTCCAATATTTATTGGGAGAAGGTTCTGAAAATAGTTCATTGTGAACGCGATGACATTATCAGGTTTTAGCATGATAATGTTACTGACGTAATCTGCCAAAATATCTTTCACTTCAGGATTGTCTGATATGTATGTTTTCATTTTCATTTCTGTCCTAGTCTACAACAAGGCTATTTACTAGATTATCCAAGATACAGTAAGTTTAATTGAAATAAAATTTAAATATATTCACCTTATAGTCTAAATATTTTGACAATAGCTCCATATCGTTGGACCAGGTCTTCTCCAGAATCAACCTTTCATAAGGTTTCGGTTTCCCATCTTCCATGAACAATAAAGGATTCAAATTCAGGATATAAGGACACCCTTCCCATTCTTGAGATATTATCCTACCTATAAGACACAATGATACAACCTATAAGTAGTTTGTATTGGCTCCATTTGAAGCGATTTGGCTTTCATCAGCTATGTTATTATATTTACCATGCGTAGTCATTACTGTAACACACTGATGTACTATTCCAGATTCTTCCATGATGCATCTGTAAATTCTACAGATCTCTACTTCTTTATCATTTACTATACTCATCACAGGTCCGGTACATTCCTATAGGATTATTTTTCTTAATGTATTCCAATGTTGAATAAGGTACTGTTCTCAACAAAAGCAACTTGACAACAACCAACTTCAAAACGCTTCAACTCGATTTCGACTTCGCTTGCGTTACTTTTACATGCCCACTGAAGCAACTGCCAAGCAAGGAGTTCGTACCTGGCTCGTTGTCACAACCACTGGCGTGGATAGTCACAGAGGAATCCGAAGCTACCTCCCCTTACCATAAGTAACTTGGGAAGAAGGTTTCAAAAAGCTTAATACGTAAAATAATAATTCTATCATTATGAATACATCTTATGAATGAAAGATATTCTCCTCCTTAAAGTAGATAACCTCGAGGTATAGATCTAAAAGATGTTCTCTAGTAAGGGACTGGTAATTTCCTTTTTCATATTTTTGCCCGGGAATAGTCCAAGAATCATGAGGATGGTGCGTCCGACTTTCGTACTTATGATTTTTTCGAACTCTGGGATGGTCAACACAAAAATGTTTATGCCTTCAGATGCAATTCCGACAACGTATTTGTCTTTGTCTAGGACCTAGGATTTCAGTCGCCCTTTATTTCAAGCACTACAAATACATTGTTCACCATTATGGAATTAACGCCGAGGCTCTGTAACCTTCAATTATGAGGCATCCCAATTCTAAAACTTAATCATGCGAATTACCTACCACTACATCCGTGATCACGACCGTTCGAGATGGCAGGAGCTCACTAACATGGTTTGGTCTGTTAAATTGTACCTGGTTACTTTATAGAGGTCAGGTGCAAAGAATGTGTGATTTTTGTGTTTAAATTTAAGAAATATTTGTCAGTTATTTGTTATGATAATGTTTTTGTTTTACCAATGTGCTCCAAATCGGTGATTCCTATGATTAACTTCTATAAATAAAACTTTTCGATGTATACGGATATCTTGAGTTAATTCGTTAGGGTAATATTTTGTCTCACCTATGTCCTAACTTATCTCCCTGCAACATTTTCTTAAAAAGCTTATTCTAAACGCTCAGTATTTACATACGTTTTAAGTTGTTTATTTTGATGAATAATTAATTTTACCTTGAATCCTCATTCAAATCAAAGAAGCCATTAGCCACGAGTAATTTCGCCAAAGATGCTAAATGGTACAATTTTCCCAACTTAACCCTATGTCTTGAGTCTGATTATCACTCGCATACTATTGCTTGCCAGACTTCTCGAATTAACCGCAGCTCTCCTGGAATGTTTTCAACTCTGCTGCTTAATCTGAATCACTTCAAAGAACAAAATAACGTAATAAAGAAGTACTTTTATCCGATAATCGGATAACTGATAATTAACAATTAACTTTTGATGATAATCTACTAGTGAATGACTGCGAACTGACTAGCAATGGCAGTGTTAGCAGCTACCGAGCAACTGGTTGCGTTGCCTCATTTTTTGGTGTGAACGCACTGAGTTGGGTTACCGTAAGGTTGCAGTCGCCTATTGCTTTTGGTGAAAACGGTCCTTTACAGAATTGAATTGTCGATATTAACGCCTCACTATTTTGATGTAGTAGCAGTAGTAGTAGTACTAGTGGTGGTGGGGAGGCGAAGCCTGGCAACAAGGCCACCTGTGACGCATGACACTGTACTACTCCACAAGCCATCTTCTGGTACCTGATTATTGAATAAACCAGCTCCAGCGATGAGATGTTTAGCTATCATTAATCTTGTACCGATCAGATCAGATATAGACAACACAACATCCATGGCAAGGAAATAACTTTTGAGGTGGAGATTTGAACCCTGGAACCTCTGGTCAATCGATAACTAGTTCAATGCGCTAACCAGCTAACGGGGCTCCTCACTAGTTTGATAAATAATTTCTCCCTATTTTAGTTATGAGCTGCTCTGCTGTATTGAATATCGTATTACCAGTTTCGAACCGTCCATGTTACATAAGCAAATTTTTTATGATTATTAACCCCTTCCTCCCTCCGCCATTGTCAGTAACTGTAAGCAAATCTTTTAACCCCTCCACCCCTTCCATGCTTACGTAAACAATTTGGTACATTTTACAGTTTGAAGCAAAATATTCGCTTTCACGCACGTGTTCTGAATATTGTCGAGAGTCGAGGCTCTGGCAACCAGAGTTACACGACAATGTGTGGAGCGTGTTTGCATCGCGAGTATTCGATACCATCTGGAAGCACCTGCTTCCATCTAGACCACCTACATGGAAGTCCCCGAACACGCTAGAATATTTCTCAACACGTCGATAGGGGGATAAATACCCCACTATATGGCGGAAGCAGTTAGTTACAGTCGAGTCAGTGAACAGAGAGCGCGGAATTAAAATGGAATAATAGTCAAGTCGAAATAGTTATAAATTAGTTGCAAGTGTTATAAATTAGTGTATCAGTTAAGTGATGGAAAACTCGAAAAATGTAGACATTCTTGGAGCCGGGATTTATGGGGCAAGGCCAAAAACCGACATCTCTATAAGTGTAGGCAATAGTGCAACAGTATTTCAGGCTGAAGTAACGGCCAAACAACTCTGTGCAGAAAAGCTCATAATGAATATGAGACTGCAACTCAGTCGATCGCCATCTGTTCGGACAGCCAGGCAGCCTTAAAGCAAATATCGTCTAAACTATAGTCAAATACCAGAATTGATGACAGTAGCAGAAGTCATCGTGCGTCACTGCTTTGACGTGGTACCTTTTGGTTACAGCGACGTTTACCAACATTTCACAAAGAGGCGCCGCATTTTCAAAGGCCTCCGCGTAATAGCAAAGTCGTACGATGAGTTTCGCTACTGTCAATTTTGGTATTTTACTATACTATGGGATTGCGGGAACACTCTCAAAGAGCTGAGAAACCGAAACAAGGTAACATTGCTCTGGGTACCAGGACATGAAGGACACAAAGGAAATGAAAAGGCGGATGAGCTAGCCCGACAGGGTGCGGCCAATCGCCTGATAGGATCAAAGCCTTTTTGTGGCGCGACAAGTACACGCACCAACAGTCCATAAGAAATTGGACCAAAAAAAGTCCCTAGAATGGTGGAACAGCCAATTGGGGCAAAGGCAGGCAAAAGAGTTAATCAAAGAAAAAAGTCCCGCTTTTACAGAGAACCTACTCGGGCTCCATAGGAAGGCCATAAGGGCCACAGTGGGTTTCCTGACAGGGCACTGTCGTCTAAATTGAGATATGAGACTCCTGTGTCGGAAGAAGAGGCCACATGCCGTTTCTGAAGAGAGCATGAGGAAACCCCAGTGCATCTCATGTGTCACTGTGAAGGCCTGGCAAGGCTACGGTTTCAGATAGTAGGAACTACAGGTCCAACAGCGGAAAGCTACATGCAAGGGCATGTGTCAAGGCTATGGAGTCTGATTAAAGGATCAAGGCTGGACACAGTGCTTTAGAAATTATATAGAGGGGTGACAATAGATCTACTTGGGTCGCAGTGACGTTAAAGCTGGCAAGCCAACCCCTCACTTCAGTAATCTGTAACTGGTACCATAGCTTGTAGCTAAGCTTTGCTCTAAATAAAAGGCGTTTATTATTATTAATGAATTAGAATTTGAACAGTTACAATACCATTTAATGTCTGAAAAATCAATTGCCACTGAATTCCATACCTCTGCTAATACATTTCCGGCCAATTCGAAATTAGATGTTTCTAAATGTTTATTAATTGTAACGCCACGTTCATCCAAATGATCCTCAAAATGCTCATGAGGCAATATCAAACCCACCAGTTCCCGACCTAGAGGAGATATTCTGCGCTTTACTTGGTTATACACATTTCCAATATGAGCATTTACAATTAAGGGACATGCGAGGTCTGTAAAAAGAGATGAGACTGTTTTTTTTAAATTCTTTTATTCAAATATAATTACAATTTTATATTGTCACCCTCAAAATAACTTCCTTCTAAAGCCACACAGAGCTGAAGACGGTTCTTCCACCCGTAAAGCCGCTTGAATGTTTTCGACTGTCCCCTTGAGGTGATTTTTCATCTTCGGGAAGAGAAAAAAGTCACAATGTCACAAGTCAGGCGAATAAGGAGGCTGAGGAGCCACATGAATGTTATTGCTGGACTAAAACTCGTTTATTGACATTCCTATGTGACAAGAAACTCTTATACGATCATTCTGGCAGTCAACCGACGATCTGGACCCACAAGATCCCTGATTCTGTTGATATTTTCATCGGTGCTTGGAGATGAAGGCCTTCCACTTCGTGGTTGATCTTCAATCGACTCTCTCCCTTCTGAAAATGTATTAAACCACCGAAAAACCTGGGCTCTTGACAAAACACTATCTCGGTAGGACTGCTGAAGTTTAGCAGCTTCTGCTTCACTGTGCTCAAGTCTGAAGCAAAATTTGATAGCACGCCGTTGCTCGAAATTGATAGCATTCATTTTTAGAACACAATAGGAAAAAACAATCGTTACGTTCAACCAATGACTCGAGCGAGTTCAAAATTCTACTGAACGCGGATAACATGTCCCGCTCTCCGATCTAATCTCGGCGCCTCCAGTGTTGCCAGATCGAACGATGCTTTGCCAGTCTCATCACTCAATTTACAGACCTCGTATCCATATCCATATTTGGGGCATCCTTGAGGACCTTTCAGCAAAGCAAAGAACCCCCCCCCTAGTGCTTACGTAATACTGGAATGGCCCCTTTTTTGGTGTTCTGAATCACGATGTAACGCAGCGAAAATATAGCCACTGTAGACACAGTAATTAATAAGCAATTGCTACTACTACTGTACTATTTCAAATAACAAATATACACAAAATCGCATTTTCAGATCCACTGAAAACCACTTTTGGACAGACCGTCACAACAATGTGTTCATAGCTCAAATACATCTTTCAAAGAAATTTTGTTCAACTTTAACGACTAGGTTTCACTCTAGCTGTCTTGTAATTTTATGTCTTACGTAAATATTTCTGCACATGTCGCCATTGATATAGATTGTTGACAACTCAAAAGTTCCAGTATAACGTTTGATTGCCAGGTATCGCATTAGTAAGAAATTAGCGCCTTCACAAATCATATTGTAAGTTTTAGTTAGTTTGTAGTATTTTCTTTCTTCGATGCCCTCTTGGTTACTTGTGTGACATATGTAGTATTTTTGACGCTGTAATGCTACGTATAATGTTTTTTCTGTAATGCATTCCTTGCCTACTTCTCGTATGTACCTAGAAGAAACTGTGGTTTATCATATTTGCCTAATTCGACATCAAAATCAAACTTTGTCAATCTAAAAAATCCCTAGACCGGCACTGGTAATTTGGACTCTTTATAGGTACTTACTCGGTTCTTTTTTCTTCAAGTGTATGGAAATTCCGGTCGCACCATGCAGTGACTCTAGATCCACTGTTCTGTCCATCAATGTCAAATTGAGATGAAAGATGAACAATAAACTTTTTACTGTTAGCTCGAACTTCTTCACGAAGGAGGTCTTCGTACTGAACTAACTTTTCTTTCAATACATTGTCCAGTTCGCCAACATTGTTAGCAGAATTCATAGCTGGAAAGAAATGTTATTCATGAGTTATAAGATCGATGCTTCGAGATCGCTTTTTAAAAAGTTTATTTTTCGAAAATACAAAACTCAAAACTGTACTTTTACAAAATTATTACAATGTTATTATGATGTTAACAGTACAAAGGCTTAAATCTGACTGACTGTAAAATGTGTTGAGAACAATAAAGTAAACTCTAGGTCTTCTAGGAAATTAGTAGCATCGTCGGCAGTATTCCTATCATATCAGCAGGAACGGCTGATATAACTCCTCCCCCCTGAGATTCAACTTCGGGGAAGAATTCTTCAAGGAAGTTGAATAGGATGAAGTTCGACTTCTGGTTGTTGAATACTTCTATTTCTGAGCTTCCTCCTCTTCAAAATGGTTTTCCAGAATGCGTAGACACCCAAGAGCAATATACATCCATATATTATCAGTGTCCAGGCACTGGGTATAAAAAATTCTGTAGGTTTTTTGAAGTTGGGTTTGTTGTTGATAATGCTTGACTTGATTTTACTTAACTCGTCTAGCTTAATTTTTTCTAGATGCAGACTGAAATTTGTTTCTGTGATGTCGCCTTTAGTGTCCAGGTTTAAATCCGGGAATATTATAGGTTGGCCCGCGACAATCGTTTCGGGTTCATTTTTGATGATTTGGTGATTAATTTCGGCTTGACAGTTGACAGGAATATAAAGTAGGTAAGTTCCCGTCAATCTTTTCATTTGAATTTCTTCGTGGCATTCCATTTTGATAACTTCTGGTAGTGGCAGGATCAATACCCATTGATTAGTCCGTTGGATTCGTTCGATACTTGGCTGATTGATTATCAGTGGAGTTCGGGCACATGCAGGGGCGTTTCTTCCATTGAATAGTTCAAGTTCACAGGGTAATGGACCATTAATGTCTCGCAAGATGGTCTTCTCGCAGAGAAACTTTTTAGGAGTAATTTCAGTACAAATGTCGCCGAAAAGTGCAAAGTGCAATTCATTTTTTACCAAATAAGGCTCCTTTGGAATGATAGTCTTAAATTGACCTTCAAAATATATCGGGATTGGAAAGAGACGATATAAGTTAAATGACTCATGGTACGAGATTGGGAATGATAAAACGAATGTAATTTTGTTGCCCACAGAATAACTGGAGATTTTGATTATTTTTTCAAAAGTTGGTATGTTATCTAGTAAAACTGGAATCGCAAATTTTTCCTGGCCTAATCTTGAGCTCAATAGTTTCAGTTCACCAAAAATTTCTTCGGTTGTAATAATGCTAGAGTGAATTGTTCCAAGACGTGCAAAAATTATTGAATTTTCAACGTCTTGTAATATTGACAGAGTTACTTCGTAGCTGTTCATAATTTGAGATACTGTGTCTACTATGAATTTATGCTGATCTGAATCGATTGTAGTACGATGAACAATTGCATATATGGTATTAATTTTATTATTCAGCAATTGTTCATTATGACAGATTTGCTGAACAGTTTTATTGAACTTATCAATAAGAGATACTGACAGTGCATTATTCTGTGTGACACTGTTAGTCAATTCTCTTTGATTATTTTGAAGCTCTCGAATTAGATTTTCGAAACGTTCGCCATCATTGGCGTCAAGGTTTCCAGTTATTGATTTGAATATCGACCCAATGCCATTTAATATGCCTCTTTTTCCTCGCTTTGTATGGGGAAATATATTATGTAACTTTTGTTCTACCTGTCGCTGAACAAATTTTAATGTTCTGAAATAATTGGACAAATATGTAGTGACATTTAAATTTGAAGAAATGGTTTCTGCTATACGTGAGGAGGAAATTGATAATTTTTCAATTTCAGAAATGATGGGATTCATATCATAATAATGAATGAGTGAAAAGTCATAGTCTTTTACTTTTGCTTCACCAATTTCCACGGGAAGTAGTCCTGGATTGTTGTCGAGGTTACGTATAGTTATGCTATCCTGAAGTCCAACCGTTACTTGCAGGGAAACATTTAGTTGCTAAATGAATATGGTTTGCGAAGGGGACGCTTCAAATTATCGATATGTACTTTATTGTGTTTATCAGTAGTAGCGGTCTTTTTACCAGGATCGACTGATGTTAGTGTACATGATTTTTGGAATTTATTTGCATTTTTCTGACGTATATTTTTCTTAACGAATGCTTTCTGACCTGGTTGAAATATTTTTGCACTATCTCGAGCTATGTTTGCCTTTTCAATTACTTTTTCTTTATTTTGAACAAGCGCCTCGTTGATTTTGGTATATAATAGCTTACTGCGTGCTTTGTGTTGTTCTACATAATCATTCAACAAAATTTGGTCTAAGCTGATGTCAAATGTATCTTTTTCACTGAGATGACCATTTATGACATCGATGGGTTTTAATTTAGTCACAGAATGAACAGAGTTGTTGTATGCTAAGATTGCGTATATCATTTTCATTTGGACAGATGTTTTTTGAAAGCCTTGAGTGTTTAAAATTCGGAGTTGCTCAGATATTGTCGAATGAAATCTTTCGACTACGCCATTTGACTGGGGATGGTTCGGGGAACAGAAATGTATTTCGATTCCATGTAAACCTAATAACTCGGATATGACTGAGTTTTTAAACTCGGTGCCATTGTCAGTAATAACTTGTGTCGGGATTCCATGATGGGAAAAGTATCGGATAAGGTTGTCAGCTACTTCGGTACCTGTCATTGAATTGAGATGGTAAGCTTGAGCGTACTTTGAAAAACTATCGATAATGGTCAAAAATTTAGATTTTTCAAATGTGTATGTGTCCATGTGAATTATTTCAAATGGCTTCACAGCAGTGGGAGTGATATTCATTTGCGCTTTAACAGGGTGTCTCTCGTATTTGGCTTGTTGACAGATTTCGCAGTCATTTATGTATGACTGAACGGAACTTTTCAAATTTGGCCAATAGTACTTTTGTTTTAAGCGAGAACAGGTTTCATCGATCCCGCGATGATTTGATTTCCCTTCATGATAATTTTGTATTAAACTTTTAATTTCATCATTACTAGTGATGTCTAGAAGTTTTTCAAGACACCTTTTAAACTTGATAGAGGGCCATTTAAAATACTTTTGTAAAGCGCCTGAGAAGGGTTCATATATGTCAGGATCTTCGAAATATATATAGTATGGGACATCGGGTACAATATATTCCTTGACAAAATTTACAACATCTGATTCAAGGTTGTTCTTTGAAATTTGCACTAATAGCCGCTGTTTTCTCTCGAATAAAATTATGATTTTCGGCTTGGCGGGAGAGTGCAGGACCGTTTTAATTACGATCTGATTTTGGCCAAAGTTCAATGGTTGGTCTGATATAGGAATTGTAACAACCGGGTGTTCATTGTTAGAGTGCCGGGTTTCATCATCCTTGTCAAGTTCGTCTTCATTAGTATTGGTTTTGTCAATAACAAAAGGAAGTTCGTTGTAGTCAGTTTGTTCTGTTTCATTGATTATATCTTTGTCAGTATTTGTATTGTCAACGGTAGGAAGTTCCTGACAGTCAGGTTGATCTGTTTCATTGTCCAAGTTGACAATCATTGAAATATCGTCTAGTTCAGGGTTTAAATTGGGGTAGCTAATATCTTGAATTATCAGTGGTGAATTTGGATTAGCTTGTGTCGTGGGAGGTGTGTTTAAATTTTGATCTACAAAGGTAATTCTTTGATTCTGATAGTTGGAGGCTTCTCCAAGGAAGTCATCGAGTTGTTCCCAAAAATCGTTAGTTTCCTTAGTATGAATTTCGATTCTAGAAAGAGCGTCAGCATTTGTATTGAGTTTGCCTTTTTTATAGATGATTTTGAAATTATATTCGTCAAGTTTCATTTTCCATCTCATTAATTTTGAGGAGACGCCTTCCTTTAATGAATAAAGGTACTGGAGGGGTTTATGATCTGTTATAATATTGAAGGTCTGCCCATAGAGGTAAGGTCTGAAATATTTGGTAGCCCACACTATAGCTAACAACTCTTTTTCGGTAGTGCTGTAATTTCTTTCCGAATCATTTAAGGTTCGTGACGCATAAGCTACAGGCAAATCACTACCGATTGGACCCTGACTAAGAACTGCCCCTAAAGCTACATTGCTTGCGTCAGTTGTCAAATTGAACGGTCTTGTGAAGTCTGGGTACTGAAGTATTGGGTCGTTGGTAAGTAATGTCTTACAGTTTTCGAAACATGATACAAATTCGTCGTCGTGAACAATTTTTGCACCTTTTTTGAGGCACTTAGTGAGAGGTTTCGTGAGTTGAGCGAAATTTGGAATAAATCGCCGATAATAGCCTAAGAGTCCTAAAAAGCTTTTTATTTGCCTATTAGTTTTTGGTATAGGGAAATTTTGTATTGCTGAGATTTTGTCGGGGTTAGGTTTCACGCCTTCAGGAGTTACTATATGTCCGAGGTATGCAACCTCTTTTCTTAGAAACTCGGATTTATCTAACTGAATTTTAAAGTTAGATTCGCGTAGTCGGGTAAAGACAGACCGTAGCCTTTCTAAGTGCTCTTGAAGAGACGTCGAAAATACGATAATGTCATCGAGGTAAACGAGACATTTTTCGTTTTGAATTCCTCGGAGGATGTTATCCATCACTCGTTGGAACGTGGCTGGTGAATTTTTAAGACCAAACGGCATTCTCAAAAATTCCCAATGGCCATTTTCGGTGTTAAATGCTGTTTTTTCAATGTCTTTCTCATCCATTTCTATTTGGTGAAAACCACTAGCAAGATCCAACGTACTGAAATAGTGGCATCTTCCTAGTTTGTCCAGCAGGTCGTTTATATTGGGAAGTGGATATTTGTCATCAATAGTCTTATCGTTAAGATTACGATAGTCTATTACGACGCGCCATTTCTGTTTGCCAGAGGCATCCATCTTCTTAGCCACAACCCAAATGGGCGAGCAATATGGCGAATTACTTTGCCTAATAATCTTCGATTTCAACATTTTTTGAATTTGGTCATTTACTTCTTGTCGGTGAACAAAGGGGTACCGGTAGGT